ACGTACGTACGTACGTACGTACGTACGTACGTACGTACGTCTCTCTCTCTCTCTCTCTCTCTCTCTCTCTCTCTCTCTCTCTCTCTCTCTCTCTCTCTCTCTCTCTCTCTTCGGGACGCGGTCGAAGACACGAGACACCACCACGGTCGCTCGTTACATAAGTAAGGTAAAGGATCTCCTCTCCTCTGCTCTCCTTGAGTCGATCCACATTCGCGATTATACCACTTTCCATCGACCTCTCCTTACCCCGAGCGCGACGCTCGTTCACGCGTGTAAGCGCGTTCACGCGTGTGGGGGTATCCGCGTGTAATTAACAGTTCTGTTCGAAACTGTTGGTGAGATTTCGTGATATAAGCGAACGCATTCGCCAAATTCATGGACAACTCTGCATCGGTGGCGTCATTTTGTCAGCAGATTTAAGCGCGAGTGCATAATTTTGAAAAAGGAGATTAACTTTACAGAAACGGTAGCTTATGCATAGAGAAACACTCCAATAGAACTATCATCATTGCGGATTTTGATATCGAGTTTATTTGTTTAGTCTATATTAAAATGAAGAGGAAATGTTCTAAATTATTATCTTTTTTTTGGAATCAATCGCGAGAGGTGAATATAGATATTAAAATTCATCTATATTTTATTCTATATTAGCTGCAAGAAATTTTTTCTCAATTTTTTTTAGAAATTTGGTGTATTTAAAGCTTATACTAGATCTCACTGAGATTTTTTAGATTGATGATAAAACGAGAATGATGATAAACGTTAAAAACGAGAAAACACAAAAAAATTGTTACAAAATATAGTGGAAATATTGTTTGATAAAATAATATCTGCCATTAATAGAACAGATATGTAAAATATACCGAAAACTCTTCTTTTTATTTTGGTTAATAAATGTTTTGATTAATATATTTAAAGAAATTAATTGTATTTAATCAAGAACAAAATTGCAATTCAATTTTAAATATATAGTTATTTATATTAAATATATTTATTGATTATTGAAAGAATAAAAGATATGTGCGAGTTTCGGTACATTATAAAATCAAATCAACAAATCTGTTCTATCGGTTTTATAAATATTAAAACATTGAAAAATATTTCTAGTTTAAAATATTTTGTAAGAATTGTTATTTTCTCGCTTTCGATGTCTCAAATCAAAATAACTGTGATGAATCTCAATTTTTTTGATAATTGTTTCTGTGAAAAGTAAACTATAAAAACATATAAAATTATTAAATAATACATATAATGAATATTATAAGTTTATAAATATATAATTATTATGAATATTACAAATTTATAAATATTATAATAAATATTATTTAATCTAATATATTTGCAAAGATGGTAAAAAGAATAAATCATAATTACAGATAAATTTAAAAGGTATGCTCTCGACATAAAATTAAAAAAATAAAATTACAATGTGATTTTTTTAACATTACAATTTGAACTTTTTGCGAAGAGTTATAAAAGGCTTTTTTGTAAAAAGTATAGAAGACAGATAAACTTACAAATAACTTTCTTTGAAGGTATCTCTTATTTTTTGCGAGAGAGGTCCTCGAAACTCTGTAACGCCTAGAGGCACCGTGTGATGTAAAGGAACGATTGTAAGTGGATAAATTGATGTCGGAGTTGATGAAATACATTGTAATTTGGAGGTCGTCATCCAACGGGTGGCTCACTGTCACGCAGGAGAACCAAGCGTGCATTGACCTATCGTGTGACCTCCGACAATACAACCTTAATGTCGATGATGAACTCGAGATCGCGGATTTATGTACGCACGGTGACTCTGTATATTCTACTATGAATTCCTACCTTTGTGACACGTGCCTTTATACATGAAACCAATCTTTAATCTTTATATAAATTGCTGAAATTGAGTTTGAATAGCAAAAAATGATATAACTAGTTGAGTTGCGAAAGTTATAGACATATTATGCTTAACGATAATACAGTCTTGTAGCACTGTACATTATTTATCCTTTTACGATTATTTAAAAAATTTAGCTTTATTGTATAATAGAAATTAAATTAATTTTATTAAAACTTTATCTATTGATAATGACATATTTAAATTATTATTGTTTTATTATAAGCAAAACAGAAAATTAAAATAACTGTTTAACATAATTATTTTATTGTCTCTTGTAAAGAAATGGTATAGACATCTACAGAAGAAAGAAGAAACTAAATTTTACGCCTGTAGGTAGAAGATCATCAGAAGATGACTTTGTCTGATCTGCTAGATGGCAGCAGAATGTATCATCAATTGTTTAATTGTGTTTTTATTTTAATTGATTTTTAACAGATGTCATATGCGAGAAACTTGTATTAATTTATTAATCAAATTAATTTAATCTTATTATAGTTCTGAAAATAAATACTGTCAAAATTATATTATAATTCTCGAATAAATTAAATTTACTATTTATTATTAAAAATATTATTAAAAATATGTGGATTAGAGAATATGCGTGCATAACGTTTATAGTACTTTGGAATTATAAAAAGAAAAGAAAAACTTCTATAGAAAGAAAAAATTCTATAAGCAAATAAAACTATTGTTTTCAGTTTAATTTTCTAATTTTATTAATGATAATAAAAATAAAAAAAAGTAAATTTTGTTAATAGTGATGGGCGACGGTTGATAATTTATTATAGTAAGGTTTCTTCAAGCAATTTCAATTTCAAAAGTATTTTTGCACGATGGCAGGAGATGGGATAT